ACACACACACACACACACACACACACACACACAGAGCAACAGAGGGCTATAAAAATGCAATTCCCCAGTTTCAGGTTCAGAAGTTATATAGACATAAATTTTTATGCATGTTGTTCTGTCAAAAAATAAAAATGGCTCAAAGGTTTTAGACAAGCAGCAACAAATCTTGTCATAATAAAATACAGTTTAAAATGTGCGACATTTGATTTAAGTCAGCAACTGTCACGACAACAAATTGTATAATTTGCAGAAAAAAACCAAGATGGCAACTGTTTCATTGCTAGAATGTCACAGCTGAACCTGAGCCCTCGAACAACCTTTTCATTTAGTTTCAGATTATAGCTAACGCCCTTCACACTACACTCATTCCCGGTGTTGGGATGAGCTTCCTGCATTTGTTTTGTGTTAATTTCATCTGGATACTGCTTCATATCCATTAAAGTCAGTACAAGTTCCCATGTACCTGTGTATGTTACAAACCCAAACACCCATTGCAAAGCCGTTTTCAGACATGTCCTGCAGATAAAGTCTGGAGAATTGGGGCCAGACTTAATTCACAGTTTGCTTTTCACACATGCACAACCCAGCAGGAGGTTCTCTGCACAGGCACGTTTGCAACAGCAACAAATCCTCCGCATAATTCAGGCGATGCGTGGTGCAGCCAGCAGAGGCAGGAAGTAACTGTAACAGAAGTAATCCGCTGCGGAGATCAAGTGATTTTCTTGACTGTGCACAGACGCTGTCAGCTTTTATCACCACGAACTCTCTAGACATCTTTGTCGGTGTCTTCTTCGTGTGTGTCACCACTTTTTTCCCCAGGAGATATTTGCTTTCTTTATGTTTTTTTTCATATTTCCGTCTGCCGTGTTAGAAGCATCATCAACCCCCCCGCCCGGTCGCTCGCTATGATTCCAGTGGGGAATCCCCTGCTGCGTTCTCACATCAGATTCGGAGGCTCTCACGTGGACATTTGCTTCCACACATGCACCTCTGAGAAAATACGGAGGATCTCCAGAGTTCAGTGCATGTCTGAAAGCAGCTGAAGTAAAGTCGTACCTGACAAATACCCAAACAGAAGATCAAGGAGTAAAAAAAAAAGTGATTACAACAGGGTGTTGGCTGAAGGCACCGATATACAGACCTCTGCAGGCAGGCTCAGTCTCATTCCACTGGGGATTGTTGGGATCCATGCATTCAATGGTGACAGAGCCTTGTTCCAGAGTATAGCCAGGGTCACAGGCAAACTCCACCACAGCTCCCACTGCCCAAGTGCTGTCACTGCTGGTCAGGTTGCCATACTTCACGAAGGGCTCGTAGCAGTGGCCCGCCGCAAAGGCTGAGGAGAGAGCAAGTGAAGGTGAGTTAGCTTCACTGTACACAAAGTGGATTGTCTAACATACTGCAAAAAATATGGATGATAAACATTTTAGATAATTGTTATGGCTGTAATAATCCAGACTGAAACATTTTTTTGGATGGATTGAAATTACAGGTACAGGTATTAAGAGTATCCAAAGCCAGGTTTTGACATTCATGGTTCCAGAGGTTGAACCATAGGCAGGATTCACAAGCTCCAGCTCTTTTCAGAGTTTATTAGTCGATGTTAATATGGGAGCTATTGGTAAAATGTGCTTTGCCTGCCATGCAACCTGCATTGCATCCACAGGGTGGTGCTCTCACAGGGCTGCAATTAATACAGCATAACTTAAATCCTCTGCTGAAGATGTACCAGTGGCACCGGTACCAGTGTGATTAATGTTAATAGTGACATAAATAAAGCTATGGCTTCAAATACTGAGTACCGTGAATTATCTGCCGTACAGTTTACCTGCCTCTCTCCGTGAGATGCTGTGCTGTTAATCACAAACCAATATAAATACATTCAATTTATTTATTAGCTACATTTCAGAATAGGTGTGGAATTAAATGGGAAAGATGCAGATGCTGTGAGAAAAGGCTAAATGCTCATGATTGATGTTATCTGTTTACCAAATTAAGAATGGTTTGTCAGGATAGAGTGGGGACTATCAAATCAGCTGGAGACAAGCTAAACACTGTTACGTCCTATTAATGGCCTTAATGAGGTCCAGTGGAAATATGCACGGTTGCTCCCTTTGGACTTAATCCCATTGGTAGCAGTGAATTGGAGGTCTAATCAGATTACTCTGATTGTATTTCCAAGTGGTCCTTGCAGACCGGAGACAAGTCTCTTATCTGATGGCGAGTGCTGAGACAAATGTGAGGACAAAAGATAAGAGAAGCTATTCGATATACCTCACCCTGACAACGTTGCTTGAAATTCATTTTAAAATACATCATATGGATTTTAATGCATAAGATTATGCTGGTGGAATCCGCAAGCTCCTATTGTGCACCTGAAAGACCCTTCGTTCTTTTATTCACAAGCTCCATTAAAACAAAACCAACAGATATGAAAGAAAAGGCAATAAAGAGAGCCACCTTTCAACAGCCATGGAAGCATTTAAATGAACCTATAATGTTTATTGCCAAAATTACTGCTAGCAATGAAAGCAGTAATGAAAATAAAACACTTCTGATGAAAGGATTTCGTGATGGGGCTTTTGTTCTGGCGAAATCTGTTATTTTGCTCTCTGTTTCCAAATGGGAGATATAAAGGTTTATAGAGAGTTTTGTTTCATGACATCTGTCTCACTCTATCACACTGAGCCTCATGCAGGATTGCTCCCCTTGGACCAAATTAGGATTTGAGACTGCCGGTGGCGTGGTTCTGGGGGATGGCAGTTTTGGTCTGTTGATCCACAGCTTGGTTCAAAATGAACAACGGAACAACTTTTGTTTGACTTGCCATCCATTTCTGTGCAGACGTTCCTGGTCCTGAGGAAATGAGTCCTGCTGACTGGTGCACCCTTTTCCTCTGGCTGCACCGTGACATTGACATTTGTGGTGCGCAGCAACAAATCTTGTCAACTCCTGGATGGATTACCTTGATATTTGCTACAGACCTTCAAGTTTCACAGACAATCTATTCTAATGTATTTGGCGACTTTTCCTCTAATGCCATATAAGTTTGACATTTTCATTCTTATTGAAATATATCAACAACTATCGGATTGATGGTTTCATTGTGCTCCTCAGAGTTAATTCTAATAACTCAGTGCTATCATCAGGTCAAAAATACTTTTTGTTTATGACTAAATACCTCCTTAACTTACGGCATTCCCACCCCAAGTACTTTGTGTATGAGGATTTGCAGTTTACAGTGATAATGAAATTAACATTATTACCTGTTTATAAATATCTCTCCTGTACTGATTGTCCTTCTTAAGTCTGGGTTATGTTTCCATCTAGCCTACCCTCTAGTTTTGACAGTTGGAGCATCTGATTGAACTGATGATTGAAATCCATGCAGAGGAAATTCATAAAAGCAACAAGCTGACTTTTAGTATGTCAGACGTTTGTACTCAGAAGTATTTTACATACGACCCTGTCCACAATCTCTCCATTGGCTATCAGTCTTAATGTCAAACCCAAGTTTAGAGTTTGACACTAAAGTTAAATATGGTTGATCGCTCTGCAGAAAGTAATCTGTAATCTGAGATTATTGAATGGAGGACTCAAAGAGTGAATATCTATAATTGCGACATTTGACCACTACCAAAATTATAATGATGAATTTCTCGTTTTCATATTCTATATTTTTTAAACTATTTATCTGAATATTTTTTGATTATCAGAGGAAAAGACACTTGAATTTATTGTTTGAATTTGTGATATTCTTGCCCATCCTTGCTTTGGTTCTATATTACTTTGTTAGAGGAGATAATGAATAACTTAACACACTTCGTTTAAAGTGCAGACGACACATAATAAGCACTGTAATACAATCTGAAGATGTTTGAATTAACTGATCCAACCGTATAATTATGAGACAAATGTCAGAATCTGAATTGATTTTAGCATATTAGATTCGATTATTTATAATTAACTCCGGACACTGAAGCAGCTGGAATCCCTGAGTGAGCCGACAGACACCAGCTCTACTTTCACTCCTAAAGTCTCCCTTCAAAGCTACGTGTAGCTCCCCCATTGAGACGCCTCTGATGAAACCCCACAGTCTTCCTCAGCTCAGCTCGTCATATTCCTCTCCCCAACCTGTTTTTTCATTCGGCCGTTTGAAAGGCACCTTTCACTGCTGCAGTGCAGCACTTTTAGTGGCTGGATCGGCCTTGATTAAATGGATTTCATCATCACTGGAACTCCTGACCTTCTTTTCACCGCAGTTAGCTTTTACACTACATTCTTTTGAAGGTCTTTGTTCATTATACTGTTTGACTGGTAATTCACCGACAATCTCCTGCAGGCCAAAGTTTCCGACTGATGGTAAACTGCTCTTGGCCTTAAAGAAAATGAGCTTACATCTTTTCTATGAAGTGTTTTATAGATAATAAATTCACATTTTCTGCTGTCTACTCCATGTTTGTATGATTCGTGACATAAAGCAGGAGGCCTTGCTCACATCGCCACACAGTTCTAAAGCTTACCTTGGTACCGGATGGCGATTCCAGTGGATGTGCCTGCAGCATCTGTAGTCAGCTCAATGAATAGATGTCTGGACGAGCTGAGTAAACCTTCATTAGGCAGATACTCCACCTCATAGGAATCATACAGGGCGGCTGCATCTATGCTGTTACCGTTCTTGATCAGCAGCCTGGAAGAAAAAGAGAAAAGCATCATGAGCAGGGATCCTCCTGTGGTTTCTGTCTCAGCCCCGTTCATGTTCATTGTGTCTCCTGTCATACTCCACCCGCCCACCACATCTCCTCTTCCCACATCCACCTGCTCACCTGTCCTGACTCTGCCTCTGATTGGCTTACTCTGATGTTTTTCTATAACGCTGACTTAATCACAGTCAAGGTAGCGACAGGTACTTGCCCATGGCAGGCAAAGGGAACAAATAAAATGATAATAACGCAGTCAAGCTCTGCCACGTTGTGCTTTTCACAACATTTTAAGCCGGAGTCTGTGCAGCAGTGATCGTGGAGCGGAGCCACCAACACATCTCAGCAATCAGAAATCAATTTCAGGTGTCACCTCGGTTTTGTTGCATCAAATGACTACTTAAAATGAAACTTTTGAGAAAAAAACGAAACACCGGGACTTAGATGATTGTGATGAGAAAATCTTAAATTAACAGAAACCATCTTCGGAAACAAATATCCGGCTTGGAGGGTGAATTGTGGTGATGTGGTTAAACCTAACCTGCTGTCTGTTGATTTACAGGTTAACATGGATCATCTGGCTGAAATCCCATAACTTCATGGGGGTGATGTCACAGAGAGGGGTGGGGCAAATGTCAATCAGATGCCCGCCCCTTGGAATTGCATGATGAATTCGATGACACAAGATTACTGCACCGCAAAGATGCACACAGAATTCTACAGATGTTAAACTTCATGGCAAACATCTGTGACCAAGCTGATACTTCATGTTTTATTGTCATCTGCACCTGAAGCAGTCACAGTCACTGTTCATCCTCTGCATGTCACAGCCGCCGCCGCCTCCGCCTCCACCCACTGCTCTGTTCCTTCATGGTTCTCCACGGAGGTCTGCATTGATCTCTCCCCGCTCTGACTTTGATGACTTAAATTATTCTTCTCAGGTAGCAGAGAAACAACACAACAGAGTCTTGATGTCAAACTAAAATCTATATTTACCTTTCTATTAACAGTAACTGAGCTGATCTGAATGTCAAAATGTTCTTCCTTTTTGGTTTTTATACTCTGAAGGGGCGAACAGTTTTGTTTTCCCCCTTGTTGAGTGAGGAAACAAAATTCTTTGTGATTCCCCAAAAATACTTGATCTGGATCAGAAGAAGCTCCTGCGATTGATTTGCCACTTGCTACTGTTTTCACATCATTACCGACAAACTGTGTAATGACAGAGGAGCATGCTCAACACAGCCCCGGGGTTCTGTGAAGGCTGTCAGTCAAACTCTGATACAGACTAAACAAGCAAAACAAGACAGTCTGAAAAGTTGGGTCTTGATCTTGGATGTGGTAAACAGCAATCCAACAATTTCTGTTGGCAAGACATTTTACTCTCCGGGGTGCTTTCACCTACTGTGTCTCACGTGCCAAGGTACAGAGGTACCGAAGTAATGAAGTACAAATACTTTGTTACTTCTCAGTAAGGCACAAGACCCTAAGTGTCAGGAGGTTGGTCGGGCTGTACCGGTAATGATCCGTCCACAGGTTCACCTACGGAAACCTTGTTAGGACTTTATCTTCCTCTAGATAGTCAAGTTTGATCGTCTTCTCAGAGCTCAACCGGGGCCGTGACCGACTCCGACGAGGCCGATCCGTGGACCTCACTAAATCATCCGATCGGTAGATGCGACGGGCGGTGTGCACAGAGGACAGGGACTTATAATCAAGACGTTGTAAAGAATGATCCAGGTGCTCATGCAGGACCTCGGTTCAGCTCAGTCTTTATTATTCTTATTATTCTGTCTGAAATTTGTGTCCAGTGATTCAAATTTCATTTTTACTTTTGTACTTAAATACATTTCAGAGCCTGTACTTTCTTACTTTCACTTGAGTAAAGGAGTTGAATCAGTACTTCTACTTTTACACAAGCATCTGTACTTTTACTAAAGTAAAGGATGTGAGTACTTCTGCCACCTCTGCAGAGGTAGCCGAGGAAGTTGAACTCATTCCAACTCTTACCGACCTGCGCAGGTTAGGAAGATGGCCCCATTCCAACAATTTACAAAAAGATACTTGAATGTTTTAGTTGACGTTTCAGTCGCCACCACTAGTTAAACTTCTTCTGGACTAATCTGAGTCCTCACAGAGCAGCTGACCTGTATAAATACAATCATAATTAACGTCAGGTCTTTGTGATCATCAGAGAAGTTACACAAACAGCTGAGGTACAGTCACGAGCTGCAGTGAATAGCTCTCAGTGACGTTTTCCACCATGTGCAACCGTGTAGCGCTGATAATGCTGGAGGGTGTCATTATAACTGTGAATGACACTCATGGGACTTCACAACTGAGACACAGCTGTATTCATAGAGCACCAGGAGGACGTGGGGATTGAACCCAGGATTAGTGGACATCCCACTCTTCCTCCTGAGCCACAGCTGCTGCCCACTTCAACTTTACTCCTCCTGGCTGAGTGGAAAAAGCTGCCAACATCAAACCGGTCCTTAGACGACACGAAAACTGGCAACACAGATGTAAAATAACTAAATCAAGTTAGAGAGGAAAAACACGGATGGTGAACTGGTGCATTTAGTCTCGGAGCCAGAACTCCATCCAAAATGTTGGTGTGATGATCAAACTCTTTCTAAAGTGGTTGAGGCAGAGTGTGAAGAGAAACCAGCGAGAAATCACTGACACCAGGAGTCAGCAGAGCTCATCGCACCATCACCTTTTACTGCCGTGCCAACGCTCTGCCTTCAGCTTGTCATCACGACATCCTGATCTTTTCCAGTTTCCTCAGAGCTGCCCAGAAGTCTCCTCATATCTGAGCTCTGCATTTGTAACAGGAGCAGTTGTGGGCTGGTTTACAAACTGGATTATTCAGGTAATTTTCACCCCTGTGGTATTTCTTCTTCGTCCTCTCTAGTGACAGCCCCGTGCTGCTAAAATGACACTGCAGTCATTGCGATGAGCTCACAGTGAGGAGTCATTAAAACTCCCCCCACTTAAAATATTCACTGCAGATAACTTTCCAGAGCTCATACTTTAATCTTTGTCAGTGTGTAGATCTTTAAACCGACTTTAAACCGACTGTTATCATCTCTATAATCAACTTTTAGGTTCGTACGTTTGCTATTTTACACGTCCAACAGGTTCACAGCAACATTATCATTTATATCATATTGTATTGAGCATACTAGAAAACTAAAGTGCACGATTCAGTCTCTTATCGCTCTCTCTTTTTGCTCTCCATTAATTTCTGAAGGGAACATCAGCTGCTAAATGCTCTACTTTTTTCAGTAGTTAGTTTCTCACGCTCTCTCTGCCAGTGCCTCCTCGGTGTCGAGCTGTTTTCAGAGCTTATTCTCCAAAAACAGCTGTTTTTCTTGCATCTGAAAATAACGCGAGCAGTGAGGTGAAACTCACTGTGGCACTGAAGAGCTGCAGATCCAGGTGATAATTCACCTGTGGGTTCATCACAAGAGACCTTTTTCTAAAATTGCCATTTGTTACATTAAGTAATTCCACTTTCAGCAGCTTTTATTAAACTTTTCTTTATCTGAATTTGTTCAGGCAGTGAAACTGCTAATGTGTTGAAGTCTGGACATTTAGATTCTGCTAATAGACCAGAACCCCCATGTTCACATATTGACTGATAACCCGAAGCATTTTCATTTCAACTTTCATCCTATATATTTAGACTTTAATCCCACATCCTCTTACTTCATTTCATGATACGATTCATCATCAATATTTTGTATATCTCAAATTGGTCGTCTCACAGGGTGTGAGTTTGTATTTATTTTGTAAAAGTAACTTTTACATCTTTAAAAGTTGTCGAAATATAATTTTCGAGGTGTGATAAAAACAAAAGAATTGCTGTAAAATGAAATAACCAGAAAATAAATGTTATAAGTATGATGCACAGTTTTTACACAGTTTTTATGTTTACATGTGGCGACACTGTCAACAAAGGCCAGATTGGCTCATTATGTCCAAACCATCCTCGTGTTAAAACTTAACGTCCTGCTTACCGATCATCGTCCTCGGCCAGCGCCACCTTCTCAAAGTGAATGTGAAGTCTCTGGCCCTCGGGAGCCTCCAGCAGCCAGTGGCACGTCAGGTTGTTGCTGTAGTTGCTGGGAAAACCAGGAGAGATGATCCGACCCACCGTGGCGTTTCTGATCACACCACCACAGGCAGCTGAGAGAGCGGGAGGAGAGTGTTCTTAATATTTCAACAACACTGAATGTCAAACACATATCCACAAACTGGTGCTGAGACCATCCCACCCCTATTAACCTGCTGAGAACAGGTTCACCTCATCTGGATGAAACTCTTAAAAGGTTCAGTGTGTAGAATTCTGTGACTAGTGGTGAACCTGTGGAAGCTTCAGTCTACTGTAAAAAACATGGCAGCCTCCGTAGAGAGTATTTAAATATAAAGACTCACTGTAGAGTAAAGAAAACAAGAATTCATACAATTTAGATGAAACACACTCGTGAAAACATATTTAAATTTCTGACAGTAGATCCCTTTCACTTAAATCTTACACACTGGACCTTTAAGTCAGTTCAGACAAAGAGGACCTGGTTTCTCTGAGCTGCTCCTCGTTCTGTTCCGATTCACCCGTCAATCACTTCCATGCTGCCGTCTCTCAAGTGCTGTTGACTGTCTGACAGCACTTCCTGCACATGTCTCACAAAGAAGGGCCCACTGGCAACAGTGGAGAGCTGAGAGCTGCTCAGAGGCTTTAATGCAGAATGTTTGTGTTGCAACAGGAACAAAAAGAGACAAAATGGAAGAAACTGGAACAAAATAGTGAACACAAAGAGTGTGTGTGTGTTTCTAAAATGGATTCTGACACGTTCGTCAAATGTACAATTTTGTGGAGCAAGATAACGGGTGTGTGTGTGTGTGTGTGTGCAACTTCCATCATCATGACTTTAAAAATATGAACAAAGATGAAAATGAATCAACAAATAATAACTGTTTACTTTTCATTGCAGGAACCGAGGTGAGAAATAAAAGAGATAGAATCAGATTTATTAACACATACAGAAAATCTATTTGCAGCTAAAGAAAGGTGTGTGTGTGTGTGTGTGTGTGTGTGTGTGTGTGTGTGTGTGTGTCCCAGCTGATCAGGTCAAGGTCACTCATGCAAACAAAGCTTAATTAAAGCAGAGCAGGAAGAGTAAACCCAGTGGCATCTTGCCCAGATTTCAGTAATACACCTCTTTTATGCTCTGACACACACACACACACACACACACACACACACACACAATCAAGATGGCAGAGATACAGATGCACAGCCACACAAACCCGCTCTTAGAAATGGCTCTCAGAGGTTTATTTCCTGTGCTGTGAATCAGAGTTGATCCGAGTGGTCAGGAGCAAAATTGTCACTTATTATTCATCAGCCAGCCCCATCGAAGCAGATAAAGAAAAAAAAAAAAGAAAAAACATTCATCATCCACACACTCCTGTGGGAGTCCAGGTCTCTCTATCTCTATGGTTGTCATGCAAAAGGACTAGAAGGTCCAATAGATAACTCTTGGCTGCAAGTTCGCATAAAAAAAAAAATAGAAAAGAAGAAAGAGACAGAAAAGAGAAAAAAGAAAAATACTATTGATGGGAATTGTGTGGACAGCTGGCATAGAGGGGCTGAAGCACAGAAAACACTATAAATGAGAAAACCAATACTGAAAGAGCAGAAAAAGCCCATCAAGTCTGAACAAAAACAAATGTCCAGGGCTCCAGTGATCCGGCTTCCTGACAATAAAAGGCCACAACAGTGGAATACTGTGCTGACGGACGGTAAGTAATGCAAACAATGCACTAATATTTATTTTTAAAAGCCTTTTTTAGTGTATCATTGGTTTTAATGCTGATGAAGTATTTATTTCTTCACCGTGTTATACTGTTATACTAATTATTATTATTAATTATATTAACTTCTTACTATAATAATATGTTGTGTTTACTATTTTTACACCTATTCTACTTATTAAAATATTACATTTTGAAATAACAAATAAATCTCAGAAATATTTAATATCACAATAAATACAATATATGTGTATTACACTTTTAACAGTAACAACAGAAAGAAAGAAAGAAAGAGGAATACAACAATTTCAATTTAAAACAATTCCGACTGTGAAGCTGAAATCTTAGAACGATGACAGACAGAGATTTCTGTAATTATTTAAAATAATCCCAGTGTTAAGTTGCCGTCCTTCAGAAGTGTGGATATCAAGGGTCGGCTTTGATCGCGACCCCCCAGGCTGAGGTGACCTTACCGAGGCAGTGCGGTTCCTTGCCACTCCAGTAGGGGGTGCTCGCATTGCGGCAGGTCAGCACACTGGGGCCCTGCAGCTGGTAACCAGTCAGGCAGGAGAAGAAAGCCTCCCCTCCGGAATGGAGACTGCTCACTGATACATCGCCGTAAAGAGGCCGCTGGGGGAAGACACAGCTCAACACGAAGACTGAAAGGAAAGAGAGAAAGAAAACAGTCAGAGAGGAACGAGCCTGAAACAACAGAGGGCAGACATGGACAAAAAGAGAGACACACCCAAAGAGGAGAGACACGCTTGATTTTAGAAGCTGAAGGAAATCAGGGAGGTTCCTGTGACACCATGACAACTTCCCGAGAAACTCCATACAGACGAGTGAGAAGAGCTTATATGTTTTTTTGATGGGACAGTGTGCAGAACCAGATTCTTCTCAAATTAGCACATTTACTAATCTGGATTTTTATCGCTCGGCAGCCAGAGAACATTTCTCATGCAATTTTAAAATGATTCACCCGAATCACTTCTGTGACATTGAAAGGGTAAAAGCTGCATTTTGCAAAGCAGGAGCCTTTGTCCTCCATCAGTGTTTGTTCTGCCTCTGAGTTTTGTGGCTTTTGCATAATAAAGGGAGGAAACAAGGAGATGGAGATGAGGACTGAATATCCGAAGGAACATATAAAAGCTGCACTTTAACCTCACGTCAGTATAATGCCCTTTGTCAGTATAACAACAAGATGAAGTCTTATCACCACGGTGCTGCTCTCACTCTCCATTTTGAACAAGCCAAGTGTTTTCATTCACTCATTAATTCAAATCATCTCTTTTTCATTAGACGTGCCGTCTGCTCTTAGTGCCTCTCCACATTTTCACATGAGATCACTTTCTGTTACACGCACCCCACACTTGGCTTGAAATGTATTTAAAACTTTATTTCTCAGTGCACAGTGTGTGTGGTAGAGCTCTGCTCTGGGACGTCCCTGTCCTTCCAGATACGTGGGGGGTGCAGCGGGCAGAGGCTTTGCCATTATCAGGTGTTTTTGTTCACATCACAGTGTCGGTGGCGGCGGTCTTTTCGCACTTGACATTTTCGCAGGTGTTGCATACTTGTATGGCACCGTTTTTTTTTTTTTAATTCTGATATATTTGTTTTCTTTTTGTTTTTTTGCATCTGTTGCACGTTAGAAGTGTCATCAACACTTTGCGTTCGTACATCCAGCCTCTCCACAGAATGTCTGGAGCATCTCTGGAGCTCAGTGCTCGTCTGAGAGCAGCTCAGGAGAGACTTGAGTTTACGATGACAATTTCAACAGAAACAGGTCAGACGGGCAGGATTAGACTGAAATATGAAGATGTGCTTATAGTACATCTGCTAAAGTTAGAAATATGGGTTTGTCTTTGATAAAGTACAGATCATGTGATTGCCAAATATAGCGCAGGAGGGGGGAGGGGCGATTCCATATTTAGCATCCAGAGCACATCATTTGCATTTCAGAGACTGTTCACCAGGTGAGATTCTTCACACACGAGTTACGACTGGAATTAAAGCAGCGCAGTTAGGTAGGTGTCTGTCATTGTATTAATTTGTCTGCACTCAACCACCACAGTGACATTTGGTGTAGCAGTGTCCTCCTGAGGCTGCCACCTGCCCGGACCTGTACAGAATCATTTCCACCTACACGCTGCCTGTTACACCACCGCCAATCTGCGAGGAACACATCCATGCTGGCTCTCAGGTGGCCAGTTAACGAACTGGCTTCCTTTTTCTTTTTTATTGCAGATGATTTGTCTTACCTCAGCCTGCTGGTGCAGGGCCAAACAAAGGAATAATATATTTCTGCTAAAGTCTCTGATCCATCTCAGTGTAATTGTCCTCGTTTTATTGTTAGCTCCTCGGATGGCTTGGCAGTTGGGCTGCTATCGATTCTGTCTGCTGGGGACAGCTCTGCGCCTCAGGATAGGAAATATGTAGGGAGATTAAAAGGGCCAGTAAATGACAACCTATGACCTCCCCCACTTCCAACCCTGTGTTAGTGCTGAGGGACGGTGCTGGTGCTGCGGTGTCTCCCTGAAACAGCGATAAGAAGAGCAGCGCAGGTCTTTATAGTATTTCTCATTAGGAGCATCATCCCAGGCTGGTGCTGCGGTAGCAGCAGCTGCTGGAGCTGTGTCCTATCACTCCCTGAGCTAGTCATTACCATGGTCCGCTGTAGCTATTAATATCCAAGCCAACCAAAAACGATGAAACTCACAGGCTCACTGGAGACTAGAGAAGAGATAAAAGAGCCATCATGGTAGCATTGTGGTATCATAACACTGGTGCTTTGCAGGGAGCTTCACAGAGACAAATTGCCTCGAAGCGGGAAAATGTCTGCTATATGCTACATCACTTTGTCTTGTCTTCCGGGACCTAAAGGCCATTTATCACGTTCTGGTTTTAATGGAAGGTTATTGATAAGCACTGCTTGTATTTCTTTATTTCTTCTTTCATACCAAAAGACACACATTGACCTGCAGCTGGAGTCCAGGTGATCGCAGGGACTGTTCGTGTCTTGAGGAGAGAAACACGAGCAGCAAAACTTAAAAACGCTAAAGAAAATGTAAAAATATATTTTATGTTACTCGTCCGTCAGAACAAAAGTTGGACCTAAAGTTTAGCAACAGGATGTTGGGACTGTGTTCTCTGAATATTTCCTGAGCTTGTCCCTCTCTCCGTCCGTCATCTCACCTATATTTATACCAAAAAAGAGGAGGTTGACCCAAGAGTTGACTTCCCATTAACAGTATGTTGTTGAGTTTGCCTTTTTGTTTTTTATGAGTTTTGTTCATAAAGCTGCAGCAGTCAGCATCTACAGTGCCGAATACAGAAGAGGAAGAAATTGTTTCTGTCGCTGCCGATTAGAGCAGGAGCTGTTAAAATATTATATATATAAAAAAAGTATTGAAGACAAAAGACAGATGTTAGAAGTTGTTAATGGGTTTTTGACTAATGTGGAAAAACAACAACATTACAGACGCCTGTCCATCAAACTTCCACATAAAAAAAACAATAATTGCCATTTTTTTTAAAAAGAAAGAAAGAAAATAATTTTAATTTCACATTTTCACCAAAATAAAGACTTTTTGGAAATGTGCACTTTAATTTTTGGAGATTTGAGATCCCCCCCCACTGCTGACTTCAGACCAGCAGCTCCTGAGACGGCCGGCCGCTCAGTGTGTGCCGATACATTACAGACTGGATGGCAGATGTATCTTTTACTACACTGTTAGATTTCCTCCCCTTCATAAAATTCTATTTATGGAGCGCTGTGTAAAGATTTTTCTATGTCATGGGAAATCACGAGAGCCCAGCTGGGATGTTGAGGCCAAACTTCCGTGGACCGGGGGAACATTTGTGTTCACGCTGACACCAGCTTTTTTTTAGGGAATATAATCAATCAAGAGCGAGTGCAGCAAAAGATACGCTTCTCTGATTTATATAAAGAAATGAAGCTGAATGTACTATGAACTTCACTTGCTCTGTTCATTGCTTTCCTATATGTTTGTTTTTTATTGAAAAGTGGTGACATGTCTGTGCTTATAAGAACTTCCCCTTTAAGTTAATAGAACAACGTCTACGTTATGTATGTTGCCTTTTCCGTTAAACGTTCTATAGCTGCTCTTACTGTTAACTCTCAGCTGTTATGATCAGTACTTGTACTTGAGTAGGATGTATTACTGCTTCCTCTGCTGCTGCTGCTGAGCTGCTAAACCAACACAAGCCCCAGACTGGCCATAAGCCGGCTCTCTGCAGCTGCTCGGAGGAAATGTTGGCCTCCGCCGCATCTAATCAGGCCTCATGGCCACAGTGTGGATCACAGGGGAAGAGCAATAATTTGAGCTGTTTAATGGTTCCCTGTAGCTGACGGATGTAAATTGAATTTATTTATTTTGCGCTTACATTGTGATATCGCTTTCATGTGGAATGGCTGCGCGAGGATCAAACTTCATCTCTAATCTCATTTGGTTGCACAGAGCATTTATTTCTGCTGACCATTGGCCTCGCATTACTGCGAGGAGCTGACAAAGTCTGCGGAGATTAATGCATCGCTGCCGTGCAGCTGTGACAGAGTTTGTGGGCAAAAGTCTGCAGGCTATTTCCTGAGGGTGTCATGCTTCATTCATGGCACATATGCTACAATTGTCTGAAAGGGTCAGTTAGGCATCACTATATATGGATTCTATACTTCATATATACACTGCATAGACGTGAGAAACATATATTCTGACAAAACTAAGTGGAAAAACAAATCCCCTGGTCAATTAGAGCTCTACAGAAAGTAGCATATGATACTGTAACTTTCAACTAACGAGCAAACAACACACAAAGCAATAACAGAGAAGTTAGGAGCGTTAGATAAGGAAGGGTCCCCCTAAATGATGGGGTTGGTATTTCATGTCTAAAAACAGACTGATGGTGCAGTTTTTGAATAAGTGAATCTTAAACTTGAGTTATTTGTTTATATTTTTAGGTAGAATCTGTACAGAACTGTAATTTGTTCCACTTGCCTGAAGTATTCACACAGCCAGGCCACAGAGAGCAAACCTGAACTCACATTAATCTGGAGCTGTGCTCACGTCCAACCGATGAATTCAAATTCAAATTCAATATTCACCTTCGTTAAAAAAAACTCTGTTTATTGCCTCCACCAACGCCGGAGAAAAAAAATCGTCTGGCTCTTCAGCTGCTAATTGCAAAACTGTGTCCTGCAGCTGGTCTCTGACTGTGTGTGTTTGCTGCTGAGGACAGGACAGTGGACAGGAGTGTGTTGGGACTTGTTGGCTGGAAACAGATGCCTGGTGAGAGTGTGAATACAGTGCAGGGGTCTCACTCGTGTGAAATCGATCTAGTGGCCATGAGTTAAGCTTGACTATGTCTTGTGTGACAGGGGGTAGAACCCTTTTGTTAGACTTCACAGTATCTGATAATTTATGGGATAAAATATATATATTTGATAACATTCTGCCCATATATCCACAGCATATAATACATACTACTAACCCTAAACTTCTAAACTAGACCTTGCGATCAAAAACGTAAACTAAAGGGGGAAGAAAACAAAGTCCGGATCATTAAAACCACTGTGAGAATCTCTGAAGTGAGTTAGCAGCCTGTTACTTTTCTTTTACTACAACGATCTGGTTTTAACTGCTGA